CTCTTTCCCAGTGTCTTTATAACAACTTCACGAATAGGCAAATAATTCAAATGCTTAATGCTCTAAAGAGGTCATTTTGAATGGATTTAACTCGGAATATCGTTGTCACTAAGTAAACATTTGAATCGCGTAAATATACACTTCCAAAAGAACCAATGAATACATTTAAAATGGCTGGACAGCTATTTTTAACTTTGTTTGTAACCAAGAAATCATTTGTAATATGTAAGACACAATGAGTGAAGTCTATAAAGATGCCGTATCACTGCTTAATCTAACATAAAAATAGCTCAAATTTGGGGTGGAAGAAAAGCTGCAATGATCACCCTTTCTTTTAGATTGTTTTTTAACTTTCTCATTAACAAGCTGACTGTAAAACCGAAGCAACACAAAAAGTGAAGTTTGAAGATGACCAATACTTAAAGGATAACCATTTAACTGTAATCTATATGAGCTTCATGATTATCACCAATTAACTCCCACTGTCATTCAGAACTGAATCCAAGACAATGCATTTCACAAACTGGATTCGAAGTTTTAGCAAAAACCTGTGTGGGTGAACTGCAAATGTTTGGGGGAAGCAGGGGAAAAAAATGACACAGAAACCTATATATTAAACCACCAAACCAAGGCAGCCATGATAGAAGGGCATCAATATAATTGTGACCAGAGCAAGTTGTCCTTTTAGCTCCAGTCTTGATATTTTTACATGACCTTGGATAAGTTACTAATGTGACCAGTTTCCCAGTCTGTAAAGTGGGGATTATAATAATTACCAGCTACCTCTCAGGGATGCCAGCAACCAGACCCATTTTGTAAAGTGCTCATATCTACTTGGAAGAAATGGTTCTATCACTACCAAGTATGATGAGTGTTATTTATGATCTTTCAGACCTCTGAATCTAACTACTTGGAAAAATGTCTTCATCTGGTTTTCTGAATTTTCCTGGCCACTTTTATGCACATAACCAGTTGTTCCCAGAGTGCCACTGTAGGCACATTTATTTGCACTTATGCTGACTGTTAATGAGTCCCAGATTTCGAATTTGGGCATGCCACTGACTGAGGAGCTCCTGGTATCTGAAATCTCTATCCTTCGAGTGGTGTGTAAGATGGTGCTGGTCTCTTGACCATCACCGGACGGCACAGTATCTTTGTTTAAGGTTTGTTCACTGGGAAGAAACACTAAGCATTCTATCCATTTTATACATTTTTTTAGATTTTATATTTTTAACAAATCTTCTTTTCCTTCAGGTATAAGAGGTCAAGATACGTAAGGATTAGTTTTTGAAGGATCCTTGAGCTTGTTAAAAGGTAAAAGAGTACGTGTAAGTTATTATTTGTTTCTCTATATATCTTATTTCTAAAAAAAAAACTGAAAAGGGAGTCAAAACACAAATGGAATTGCTACTGTAGAAGAAAAAACAGTTAAATAATAAAGTGTTAATTGGGAGGAGGAAAAATGAGGTTGACTTAAAAGCAGAATATCAACAAGAAAAAGTTGAAGGTAAAAAATACTGCCAAGCTTAAGCAAAAACTCTTACTCTGAGATTCCTAGCAGTCGAGACAAAAAAGAGAAAGTAGATGAATTCGTTGTTCAGCTTCCTTTGTTTTATGAAAGGAGGCATCAGGAGGACAAAATGCTTCTCTTCTCCTTAAATCTGACAAAGGGTTCCTGATTTGTAGGATACTGTATAATACACCACGCTCTTGACAGTAATTATAAAAAAGCTTGTTTTTTCCTCCGCATGAACTACCTTTCCTAGTCAACTAATGACAAATTCCTGAAAACTTTTTTTTTTCCCCCAAACTTGCCCTTGACTCATGGTATCTTTAACCTTGAACAGTATCATGGAATTGGGAAAAATCATACTGCACGAATGCAAACATTTTCACGTCGTGGGTGTAAGCATGGTCATCATAATGACATCAGTCAGGAGAGAAATAATTTATGCTTACAGGTGATTCCAAATAAAACAGTGAAAACCTACTCATTAAGCCCATTTTTGGAGCTGGAGCGACAGTTTGTCTTTTCAACCACTTTTCCAGCTTTGTTTCATCACAATTTTTAGCTGCACCAGAAACCTTTGCTAACAGCACAAAATGAGTTCAGCACCTGGCATGGCTTTCAATGAGGAACACCTTGGATTGAGATCTTGCAGGGATCACAAGAGACCAGAACACACAACATGCAGCTGACTGACCGTGGCAGAGACAAAATGCCCACAGAACAGGAAATAGTGACTGGATAGCCTTTTACAGAAGGCGGCTGCAGAGCCCTGAAGTAGACTAAAACTGGGAAACTGGGAAGTGCTTTGCCAGAAATCATTCTAGGTAGGACCTGAGAGCCCCAATGACTGGCTGCAATCAACCCGTTCCATGCCAGAACATCTGAAAGGTAACATATCCTCTTTGGAGGACAATTAGGTGCTTCCCACACGGTTTAATTTAAACAACAAAGATAGTGAAATGAGGAAAGTTGGTTGGATTTTTTGGGCCCAAATCAAATGTGCCAGAATGCAACTGGAAAAACAAATCCCTACCTTGATAATGCCTTCTAGACCCCCCAAACCCTGGGTGAGATTAAAAGCAAAACCGATCTAAGAATCTTCATATTAACAAAGTTTCACAAAAAAAAACCTTGCTCAACTGAAGAATGAGAAGTCTGTATCTTACAAATTCATAAACTCTAATTTGGTAAGATCTGAGCAAAGGCTTTGTGTAGTAACCAGGCTGGCAAGTAAGTGTTTTAAAGCAGACACAAATCTACTCAATCAAATGGAAACACCACTGGCCAAGATTCAAAAGTAAAATGAAGACGCTTGCTCCTTGAGAAACATCACACTTGAAAGTGACCTGCAAGATGAACTTGAGGGAGGCAACCTCTGCCCTCACCGGAGAGATACTTTGGGAATAAAGAAAAAAAAAAAAAAAAAAAAAAAAATGTAGCCTCCAGAACCGTTTTAACCAGAGTGCTTTCTTTGCCCCTGCTTCCAAAAGTGAGTTTGAGAAAATTTAACTTAGCTTTAATTCATCAAGCTACACTAGTCTCTATGAAAACTTCTAATTTTAAAGTCAAGTACTCATTTGATTTTCAAGCAAGGTCAAGAGAACAAGGCAGATGAGCACTGACATCACAGGGACATGCCCCACACCACACGGCAGTTACATCAACGCGGCGTGTTGCTATGGTGCCTGACGATTAATTTCTGAAAGAAGGGATTATAAACCAGCCAGATGAACATCCATCGGATGACACCACTTCAGCACAGAAGACGGACATGCGTTACTCGTGTTTGCAGCAAGTTAATTTTATGAATCACCACTTTTGTGATGTGAATATTCCTTTCTAACTTTAAACCTACCAAGTCAACGACCAAAAAAAAAAAAAAAAAATTCGACTTCCACAAACAGGGGGAAAGTTTGATAATATGGGGGGGGGCGGAAAATGTGACTATGTGAACCATTTGTTAAGAGCAATCTTTTCTTTAAAGGCCTCCGAAAATATGCTACATACATACTTACACACAAATAAATACATGTATATTTGATAATTATGTAGATCCGAAAAGAACTGAATTAAGATGCCTAGAAGTTGGTAGATAGAGTCCTAGATGTAATTCCACTAATCATATTTGCATTTACCTTTTTTGGCTTCTGTAAAGCAATCTTCTGTTATAGTCACCTCAAAAGGTCACTTCTTACCCTGAAAACAAAAGAGAATATCAAAATCTGAATGTCAAGACAAAGTAGCAACCACCTATTTGCCTGGGAGAGATGCAAGAAAACCAACCAAAGAACTCACTTCTATTTAATGGCAAAAGACTCTCAGAGTTAATAAAAACCAGTGTCAAGACCTCCACTTACTGGACCATGTGCCTTTGAGCTCTTCAAGACTATAACAACAACTTGGACGGAAAAAGTCAAGATGAAGCTTTCACATTTTGCCTTTGAACTTTTTCTCATCTTGTTGTCTGTCAATTTATTTCATTTGGAATAACATGTGAGTCATAGGCCTTTGTTTTTGGAAACCAGACTGCTACTTGAACGTGTCTTTGTTTGGTTAACATCCACAACATCTCTAATTTCATTAAAGCAGAGGCTTATTTTTTTCCCCCTTGCAAGAGCCTTAGTTCTTATAGACAAGATGCTTTATGCCACTCTGGACCTTTCAGAATGAATAAAAGCACCACAATTTTCGGCTTTTTGCAGCACAGAAGACGGACATGCGTTACTCGTGTTTGCAGCAAGTTAATTTTATGAATCACCACTTTTGTGATGTGAATATTCCTTTCTAACTTTAAACCTACCAAGTCAACGACAAAAAAAAAAAAAAAAAAATTCGACTTCCACAAACAGGGGGAAAGTTTGATAATATGGGGGGGGGCGGAAAATGTGACTATGTGAACCATTTGTTAAGAGCAATCTTTTCTTTAAAGGCCTCCGAAAATATGCTACATACATACTTACACACAAATAAATACATGTATATTTGATAATTATGTAGATCCGAAAAGAACTGAATTAAGATGCCTAGAAGTTGGTAGATAGAGTCCTAGATGTAATTCCACTAATCATATTTGCATTTACCTTTTTTGGCTTCTGTAAAGCAATCTTCTGTTATAGTCACCTCAAAAGGTCACTTCTTACCCTGAAAACAAAAGAGAATATCAAAATCTGAATGTCAAGACAAAGTAGCAACCACCTATTTGCCTGGGAGAGATGCAAGAAAACCAACCAAAGAACTCACTTCTATTTAATGGCAAAAGACTCTCAGAGTTAATAAAAACCAGTGTCAAGACCTCCACTTACTGGACCATGTGCCTTTGAGCTCTTCAAGACTATAACAACAACTTGGACGGAAAAAGTCAAGATGAAGCTTTCACATTTTGCCTTTGAACTTTTTCTCATCTTGTTGTCTGTCAATTTATTTCATTTGGAATAACATGTGAGTCATAGGCCTTTGTTTTTGGAAACCAGACTGCTACTTGAACGTGTCTTTGTTTGGTTAACATCCACAACATCTCTAATTTCATTAAAGCAGAGGCTTATTTTTTTCCCCCTTGCAAGAGCCTTAGTTCTTATAGACAAGATGCTTTATGCCACTCTGGACCTTTCAGAATGAATAAAAGCACCACAATTTTCGGCTTGCGGAGGGGGGGGGGGCGGGGGTTCATCAGTGGGTGAAAGCTGTTCACACAATGTTTTCCACTTAGCATACTTCTACCAGACCTACTAAGTTCCATAAAAATGGCTGGTGTCAGATGAAATCAACAACTGAAATCAAGCCTCCTAAAACACAAAGGAAGCATGGTGCACATCTAACTCCTGCATCTGCACACTCCCTTATGCAAAACAGTGTATAATCCTTTAAGAAACATTACAAGCTGCCTCCCTCTGCCCATGTAACTGGGATCAACATATGGCACAAGTGAAAAGAAAAACATTTGTTTATTAATTTAGATCAAGTAACCAACAGGGTACAGGATTCATTCCACATCGATTGACCAAATGCTCATATATACATATATTTTCTTAAGATGGTGAAGTCATACCACCTTATTACTAAAACGTTAATACCCTTTTGCTTACTCTTCAGAACAATATGTAATGAAGTGGTTTAAATTTGATACAGAATATATCTCTGCTCATCCCTCGGCTGTTGGCCCTGAATGTGGAAAGGCAAACATCACTGACAAGAATTAAATCTTATTTCACTAGGGCTAAAAATCTGAAAGTGGTACTTTGGTGTGTACTATCTTTGAGGAATTGATCGGAGGCCAATTTATGACATTTCCACAAGCAAGTGTATGCAGATTCTTGCCATTAAGATTGGGAAAAAATGCAGGCTCTGAGTGAAATCGTAATTTTCATGTTTACTGTAAGAGGAAATTGGAGGTTTTCACCATAAATGTTCACCATTTGGGTGGGGGAAAACCCTAGCTCTGGGACTTGAAATTACTGTTTTGCAACCGGCCCCAAACCTTTTTGTTTTGACACAAAACAGTTCGAATCGAAAATGAAAATCGTGTGCTTTACTGCTGAGGTGTGTTGCCAGGGATTGGTTTCTCCAGCGGTGAGAACTTGGTTAGAGCGCAAATGGTGATAAGAAAACAGAGCTGTGATGGTCGGGTCCTCGAGGTAATGCTGAGATCTACAAAGCAGCCCCGCCCCACGCCAATAAGAAGAGCTCATGAGACACGAGGCACGGCAACCGTCTCACACAACAGAAATTTCCATCTCCACCACTCATCCAATCTTAAATGGAAAGTAAGTGAACTCTGGCAGACCCTACTCAATTCAGGGCAAGAACGCCCTTTCTCCCTCCTTTTCACTTGAGATGTTTTCCAACGTGTGCACTCTAAACTAATTTTCATTTTTATCTATTGAGTTGCATCTATTTTTGCATTTTTGGCAGTCAGGTCTGTAGTATCAGACTTTGCAATGCAGATAAGATTGCACTGCAAAGATCATATAGGCCTGGCAAACAATTGCACCTTATTAAAATTTAATGTTTATAAAAAACAAACAAACAAAGCTGCTGAAAATGCTTACTTTGAATAAAGTTATCTCTAGTGTTGTATTCAAACCTGCAGAACATTTCCAGGTAAGTACTGCGTCTGTTTCTCTACTCACCTACAGCTACCTAGAACAGTAGGTAAGTGAACATAGAGCAAAAGCATAAGCTGGTTCCCCCTCACAGATTTTATAAGCGTAATTTTTCCCTGGAGGAAAAAAATTAATAATAACAATATTATACAACTGACCCTCCAACTTATAATCACTAAAGCAATACAAATTTGGCTACATTTAGTTTTTACTTAGACGTAAAAAATTGGCAGTGGGATACAAACCCTATTTTTTTCCATTTTGAAGTTCCATAAATTTTAATGCAGATGTACATTTGACCACTCATTAATTTATTTCTGTTGATTTTAGTTTTTAGTATACATTAGCAAAGTAATCTAAAAGATATTTTTCCAGCTCTGCTGAGAAAAGATTAATAGTTCAACAGCTGTTTGCCATCATACTAAATTAAATGAAATGTGTCAATATAATAGACAAGAAAATTAGGGAGTAGTTCTGGGGCCTGAGCCTGCCTCATTACTAGCCTACAAGAATCAGAAATCAACAACTAGGAGAAAAATCTGCATTTCATTTTTTCCAGAGCATAAAACCTCCATTTCCAAAACTGCTATTAAAAACAAAACAAAACAAAACACTTCACCTTATCAAATATATCAACTACATACCTGCATGCTTACTGGCAGCACAAGCACCAAAACTAAAAATTATGTAACGCTTTTAAGTTAAAAAGAAAAAGAAAAATATTGCCCTGCAGCCCCCTTGCCTCCTCTTAGAAAAAATGCTGGCACCAAATGAATTTCATTTTTTTTTTTTCTTTTTCTCTCTGTCTTAAGTTTCCTATTGGTTTTAGGTTTTCAAAGGTGAGCCAGGGATACGGTAAATAGAAATTACTTATTTTCCTTTATGTCATTCTCTGTACAATTAAGATCCTGTGAACACCAGAAACTGTTCTGAGTGTGGCCTCTTAACTACTGTTTGCGATCATGTTATTTACCCTAAAGCTATTTGTTGACCATAAAGACCCTGACTACGGCATTACTCTTCAGCTGAGATCCCTAGGTTAGGAGACTAATGTACCTTCCTCTTCCTCTGTCTCCCCAGTTTCCCCTATTCTCCATTAGGAATTTCACTCTCTAGACCCCTTAGGTTACTACAATGCTTCAATTTCATACTTTCTATCAGTATATTTGCCCTTAATTTAACCAGTGTGATCCTGCCAATTGGTATGGCCTAGCTGGAAATGAGGTGCAGGTAAAACATGGAGGTGTGATTTTATTTCACAAGAAGAAAAATGAACAATATACGCTCCTTTTTTTGCCATTAAAAATATTTCTCCCTCTTCTTTCATGGCAGCTCAAGGAAATGATTTGCATCAGGATTTCAGCATTATATTTCATTTTGTACAAGTATACAAGAGACTGTGAAGGACAGCCACCTTATTTCATTGCAACCTTCAGTCCAACGAATGCTGGCTGAGAACCTACTGTGTGTCAGTGTCCCTGGGATGCAAGGATGATGAACGCCAGCTCCTGCGCCATGATGAAGGTGGCAGTTAGGAGTTTCATCTCTGGCTAGAGCAACCCTTCTCTCAAAGTCCAGAAACGGGGTTCAAACTTCCCATCCTCCCAAATATCCCCATCAAATGTCATATACCTCATCTGAGAAAACAGAAAATCTCAAAGGGCCAATTTCCAAGAGATGGCTGTCTCTTTAAACCTGTGAATCTTAACTCATGTGGCTTTTCTGTTTTGTTTTTCAAAGATGTCCTAGAAAAACAAAACTATCTTCAACACAAACTCGACTAGCTGAGAAATGATAATACAAGGGTCACTTCGTTTTCTTGCACTCAAGACAAGAAAATCCACTTGGAAATCAACCTGAAAGTGTTTTTTTTTTGTTTTTTTTTTCCTCTGCTCTAATAACTTCAAATACTGAGTCAGGCTTACAATAAGAAAGAGGAAGGAGGGAGGGAAGGAAGTGAGAAAAGAAGGAAAGAAACAGGGAGAGTACATGGGCGGGGGTGGGGAGGGGGACGGAAAAGGAAGTAAATTAGAAAGAAAAAGAAAAGGAAAACTATTGTGTCGAGCAGGTCTCTGGGACCAGAGGCGACCCTGGCCATCACCCAGGTCTGCTGGTTTACAAGGGGCCACATCTCCTTTACTTCTCTTTATCAAAGAAAAATCTACCACAGGGGATCCGTCACTGCCCCTACGTCCCCCTCCTATTGCTGCAAGGAACATTTTACTTCCTTTCTCCCCACCCTCTGGGACCCTCAACTAAATCAGAGGACCTAACTTGGGGTCCGTTCTAGTAAGAAGAATCTGAACTACTCTACATGAAGCAAGCCCCATGGTACAGGCAAAACCTGGCCGAGGCTTGCCTGTGGAATTACTTCAGGCCCCCCGCAACTCCATGTTGGCCCATCTCATTTGGAAAACACCACTCGGTCTTACCTTAAAGGAAAGCAAAACCTTGGTCATGGTCCTGTGAAAATATTTTATAGGTATCCCTTAGCAGGCTTTAAATGTTGAAACTTAAAAACAATGTTTGCTGTTTTCTCTTTGAAGCTCTAACAAAGCCTTTGTTTTAGATTTATGCGGAGTGTGTGCAACAAGAGTTAATAATCAAATCCATCCCAGCCCCCATAGATGTTAAACAAAAAGATAAAAGAAATGCAAATAGCTATTGTCATGGAAAGTTAAAGTACCTGTCTGTATTTTTAAGTGAAAACTATTATCTCTATCAATCAAAATTTAAGAATACAATAGCGCTAATCACAGAAGGTGCTCTGGCGGAGTTACTTTTCCTCATGAAAAAAGAAAAAAGTATTCTTCCCCTTAAAAACCGAGCATAAAAGTCATATACTTACAATTAGACAGGGTATTTGTAATTTTATTATTAAAAACCTTCAGCGGCCTCACTGCTAACAAATGCTTCTAAGTCTCTAGACTGATTTGTACCTAAGAAGACCCAAGTCCCTACATATTTTAATAAGGTTGATGAAATTGCATTCACATTCTCACGGTTTCCGACCTGCGGGGGAACAGCACACTCTTCTGTTGA